GCGGCTGCCGCAGCCGAAGCAGCTGCACATGAGACATCGACCAGAGAGAATTCTCCTGCTCCAGTTACTTATGACGCCACATTGACTGTTATTGTTCCGGAGGACGTCGACTCAAATATTCTATCCACCTTCCTCCCTGAAATTAATCTCACGTCGCCGTCACCAGATGCTATAGTTGCGCTTTACCGTCTTGTTGTCGCGCAGTCATCCGAGATGGACGCTGTGCAAAGGGAGTTGGACGCAGCGCGTGCTGAAATTGAACGCAAGGATATAGAGCTTGACCAGGCATTTCAGGATAAGGAAGCTGCAACTGTAGATTTGGAGAGTACCCTCGAAAGTGTACGGAAGGAGCTGCAACATGTGAAACAGGAGAAAGAGGGTCTCGGTATGTTCTACCGTGCTGCTTTAGCTGAACCTAGCTGACATTTCACAGCTGTTTCTCGAGCTACATTGCAAACGCAACTTACCACGCTTTCAGCAACTCAGTCCACTTCATCTACCGAAGTTGAGTCTCTGAGACACCGAATAGAGGAAACTGAGAGGGAGAAACGGGATCTCGTCACCGTCGTGAGCAGGCTCAAGGATGACGGCGCGCAAAGAGAAGGCAAGCCTTTCTCTTTTTATTTGAACAGAATGGTCAATTTACGAAGTACGGCAGAGGAAATTCAAACACTTCGGGCTAATTTGAAGCAGGCCCGTCAAGAGCATCAGAACCTGGAAACTCAACTCAGAGAATTGCGCTCTTCGGAAACTGCCATGAAGGTGCTACATATCTTTTCTCATTTGGCTACGTCTAGCTGACACGCGTATAGTTTAAAGTCGACACGATTTCGCAACAGCTGCGACTTGCAACGGAACAAGCATCTCGTGCGTCAGATGAACTCACGGCCAAAGTCGAAGAATTTGCGCGGTTCCGACAGTCAAAGCATGCTGATCTAGCGAAACTTCAAGCCTCACATGACGCGTTGGTGCAGACTCACGCAGGAGTTGAAAGCCAATTCAAGGCACTGCAGTCTGCACATACTGCGCAGTCTCATCATCTCACGCAGGCATTGACTCGTGTGCAAACATTGACTGGACAGCTAGCAGAGCAGGAGGCTACTTATTCAAGTGAGGCTGCAGGTCTCAAGCGACTCGTCGAAATGATGGAGGCGCGCGAAGCGGAGGCGAAGGCGGTTGTTGATAGCATAGAGCGAGATTGGGCTGCCGTGAACGACAAAGCAGACAGACGAGAAACTGTGCTGAAGGAAGAGATTGAGGAGCAAAGGCAGAGGGCTGAAGAAGCGGAAAGGAAAGTGGAGGAGCTCGAAACGGTCTTGGACAGAGTGGACAGAGGCGAATTTCCCATACCCTCTTCTGTTCTTGACGGGGCGACCCCTAGTACTCCCGCTCGTCGTCCCGGTACACCATCCATGACGAGCGGTACACCGGACTTCTTGACGCAAGGTATGATGGGTCTCAGTCCAACTGTTGCTATGGCTAGTCGGGCGCAGAGGAGCGGCAAGACATTCACGGAGGTGTATGCTGATTATGTACGGTTACAAGAAGAGTTTGCTAAGAAGTCCGCGGAATTCGACAACATGGACCGCACATTATCAGCCGTCCTTGCCCAGATTGAGGAACGGGTAAGGGGGTCCTATTGGGTTTTGTCATTTTACTGATTGACCACTTATTTTAGGCTCCAATACTGTCTCAGCAGCGGGCCGAGTACGAAAGGCTGCAATCGGAGGCGTCTCAGCTTGCATCACAGCTAGCGCAGGCTTTGTCTGAACGTGATATGTATGCATCAGCGTCAGAGGAGAATTCGCAAAAGCTCTCGAAGAGCTCGAAAGAGAACGATCTACTCCAGAAGCAGTTGGACGACCTTGGCCGCCAGCTGCGAGTCCTTCTCAAAGAAGTTGGTCGGCTACATGATTCATCTATTCCACCAGATGATGAACTTGACCTTGATGAGAACACACGACCTGCAGAGAATATTGAGGCGGTCATCACGAATAACTTGGTCTTATTCCGCTCGATTCCTCAACTACAAGAGCAGAACCAAAAGCTGCTGAAAATTGTGCGCGAATTGGGTTCTAAGATGGAATCTGAGGAGAAGGAGTATCGGGATGCGCTGGAGAAAGAGCAGAGTGAAGCGGTTCGGGAAGCACATGAGGCGATCAAGCAGCTCCAAGAGCAACTGGAAAGTCACAAAAAGAGTGGAGAAGTTACGATTCAGGCCTACATGAAGGAGCGCGATTCGTTACGTGCTATGCTGTCCAGGGACCGCTCCACTGAACAACCTCCGCCCATGGTTAATGGAGACGTACACAGCGAGCTGGATTCTTCTGGATCACATTCTCATTTGGAGAAGGAGCTGGCCGAAGTTCATAGTCAATTCGAAGCATATAAGGCTGAGATGGGCGTCGACTCTGGCCGCCTACGGGAAGAGGTCCTGACCGCGCAGAGGGAGGCCGGTAGACTTGGTGCCGCTCTCGCCAAAGCCAACGCTCAAGTGGAGTTTTTGAACGGTGAGTTGCCTGTTGACATGACCATAAGCAGTCCTAGATTTATTGTTTCAGAGCGCCATCGCATGATTCAAGAGCAAAGTATCGCCCAGAGTCGTGAACTCGATAACATGTCGAAACGCAACCAGCAATTGTACGACCAGTACACCCGTATTGACATCGAATGCAACCGGGTATCGGAAGAGTTGCTCACGGCAAACAGCATAACAGAACAATTGCGTAGTGAATGCGCAAATCTGCGTGCGGAGAAGAAGATCTGGGAGGTATGCAATACAATGTTTGTGCGTTCAAATGATGATTTATCGTCTCTCCAGAGTGTTCAAACCCGCCTGGTGGAGGAGAACCGCATCCTTACCGTGGAACGCTCTCATCTGTCTGACCTCATGGGCAATGTCCAGAAGATGCATAGTGATTTAGAGCGCTCGGGAGAGAATGATCGACGACGTCTTGAGAATCAAATCAAGATGTTAGAGAACCAGACGTACGTTCATATTCAGTATACATACTTCAGCGAATTGACGCGATCGTAGGCAAGATCTGCGGAGCCAATTGAGCCAGGAGCGTGAAGCCCTACGGCATATTGACCTCCAAAAGGACATTGAAGTGAAGGAGCTTCAGTCTCGAATGGAAAAGGCTGTACGTCAATGGTATATTTTTGACAATAGAAATACTGATTTCGATACTGTACTAGTCCCAAGAGTTCGCTAAGACACGCGAAGCTCTCGTTGCCGCAGAGACTAGCAAAAAACATCTAGAAGAACGCGTCGAGGACCTAGTTCGTCAACTTCAAGGTAATGAGGAGAAATTGGCCGTGTATGAGCGTAGAGCTACTGGTGTAAACGGCGTTGCCCAACGTCCCGACGAAGACTTGACGCGAGAGCAGCAGCTTGAGGCTGAAGTTGCCGAGCTTCGGTAAGTTGGTGTCCCAATATGGTTTATCCTTATTTCTTAGACTAAGATTTTCTCTAGCTCTGCGTTGAAAGTTGCTCAAGTTGACCTCACAGCTGCTAGAAGTCATGTCCAGCAGTTCCAGGAGATTAGTCAAGCGAACGAAGCTGCACTGGCGACACTTAACTCTACGCATGACGAATATAAGGCAGCTACCGATGCCGAACTCGCTAAAAGCACGGTAAGTTCGAGTAGTCGAAGGACAGTATATATCTTATTAACAAGTGTCTTGTAGTCGGAGTATAACGCTCTTCAAGAACGGTTTCAAACGATACAACAGGAACTGGAGCAATTGTCGGAGAAGAATCTGGAGCTACGTCGCTCTCTTGAGACCGAGCGGATCGCTTGGACCCAAGATCGAAAGACTCTTGAAGACACGATCGTCGACATGAGTGCATCAGAGCGAAATTCTGAGAACGATCGTGCGTCGCGCGAAAGTGAGGTGAGGCAACAAGTAGAGCGGGCAAAGGTAAGTGACAGTAATATCTGGTATATTCGGATCGTTGACTTGATGCCAGGCTGCTGAGGACCGCTACAGTCGGGAAGTAATGGCCCACGCTGATGCTCTGAAGGTCGTAGATGAGCTAAAGGAGCAATTGTCGAAGTCCCAACATTCGCTCAGGACAGCCACGACTGCATACGAGACAGCGCAAGCGAAACTTATTACCTCAGAAACTAGTTGGAAGCAGCAGAAAGACGCTTTAGACAAGGAGATTGCTGATTTGAACGCAAGGTAGGCTGGGTTGATTGGATTTCCCTACGTCAAGGATATCGCTAATTGTTTTACTGCTAGATGTAAGGACTTGGGATCTCAGAATGGCCTCCTTCACCAGCACCTGGAATCCGTCAGCTCCCAAGCGGCTCGAATCAGGCAGGCCGCAGATTCTACTTCTGACACGGCTGTCGGAGAGCCCGATTCGACAGATGCAGATGCAAAGTACTCCGAACTACGTGCTGTAATAACTTACCTCCGCAGAGAGAAGGAGATAGTCGACTTGCAATTAGACCTAAGCAAGCAGGAGACGACAAGGTTGAAAACCCAGGTCGACTACCTTTCACACAATCTAGAGGAAACTCGCAGAGCTTTATCTGAGGTACGATCATTGCAGCGAGCTCAGTACGCACTCATATATATGATGGTATTCAGGAACGCGAGCGAGCTGTGGAGACAGCTTCTTCCGAAGCGCAACATGTTGAGCTTTTGGAGAGAATCAACCAACTCACCATTCTGCGCGAAAGCAATGCTACTCTCCGGGCTGATTGTGACAGGCACGCCAAGCGAGCAAGAGAGTTGGACACCATGCTTAAACAGATATCGGGAGAGCTTGACCCCGCTAAGGAGCAGCTTCGCATCGCTCAGGCAGAACTAGAGGCAAAAGACCATCAAATCGAACACCTTGAACAAGAAAGTCAGAGGTGGAAGGAACGCAATTCACAGCTTCTCAGCAAGGTACGCCGAGACCATCTCACGAAGTGGTGTTATTCTGATACATAGTGATAGTATGATCGCATCGACCCCGCCGAAGTGCAATCTCTTAAAGACGAAATTGAGAGGCTCAAAGTACAGAAAGACGAGTTAGAGAAAGCAATTTCTGAGCGAGATCAGCGTCTAACTGTCCAAGATGAAAAGGTTAGTGGTTCTGAAACTATGGGGCTCCAGTCCTGACCCTTGCGTGATTAGGCGGTCTCGATGCAGCGGACTATCGACAGAAACAAGGAGATTGGAATTCAGAACAACCAGAAATTCCGTGCCAGTTTCGAAAGGTTCAACGCTGAAAAAGCGCAGATGACAAGCGAAATAGATGGACTGAAAGCTCAGATTCAAGCCCTAACATCAGAGCGAGATGAGCTAAAGGATCGATCACGGAGCGCGCCTACCATGGCTAGCGTGCATGATTTATCTGAGGAAGTTGATGCTCTACGGAGAGACAAAGTTACACTAGAGCAATCGCTCGCAGATGCTCAATCGCGGCAAGCAAGTTTCAACGACGTGGAAGCTACAATTGTGGGTTTCATCGCTGAGTCTCCTAGTTTATCCTACTGATCGATTTCTCAGGCGACGTTGAGGGAAGAGCGCGACAAGCTGCTTGCAGAAAAGTCGTCATGGAATGTCCCAGTCTCAGATGGTGCCAATCAATTAGACCTGCAGCGACAATGGGATGGAGAGAAAGCTGAACTGATTCGAAGTCGGGAAGATGTAATCGCTCAGGCAAAGGTGGGATATTTCCTCGATGCATGAAAATTATCAACGTTGACCGTAATTTAGGCAGCGACGGAACAAGCACAGAAGGCAGTAGAGGAGGCAAAAAATCTTCGCTTGTCGAATGTGAGTGGCATTTGTCGGCTGTTATTACTCAACCACTGAATCCACGTCACAGGAGAAATTCCAAGCAAAGATTCAGGATTTGTCGAAGGGACGAGCTGCGGACAGTGAACGTGCAGCTGCTCAACAACAAGCTGCCGTCGACGCGGCAGTGGAGAAGCTGCGAGCTGAACTGCAAGTTGTTTCCTCTTCGACTAGCTCAGATGAGGTTGCCGCTCGCCACGCCCGCGAACTGCAGGAGCTTGAGGAGCGATTGACTACGCGACATCGAGAAGAGTTGAAAGCTGCAGTAGAGGCTGCTATTGCGCAAGGACAAACGCATGCATCGGTCTCTAGTCCTGATGTTGATCAAGCCGTCCAGGCCGCTGTCGCTGCCAACGAGGCCAAATTGAAAGAGCAGCACGAGCAGGAACTTGCAGGTGCGGTTGAGCGAGGTCGAATGGAACAAGCTGCGAAGACGAAGTTGAAGGATCACCAACTGGTCAGGGCGCAGGCTAAACTCAAGGAACTTGAGGGGCAGATGCAAGAGTTGAGAAAAAATGGTGTTATACCCCAAGCACCCCCTCCGGCTACTACGACTGCCAAACCGATGGCAGCTGCCCCTGCGAGTGCTTCAACTTCCAAACCCGCGATCAATGCGCCTGCGGCTGCTGTCGCGCAAAGAACTTTGCCTCGGAAACCATCCTTGGGTCATCCCACTGCTGAAGGACTGGGTCGCGGAAGAGGTGCTGTTCGTGGTGTTGCACGAGGTGGACTTGCAATCCGTGGAACAGCAGGAGTAGGGCGCGGTGCTGCTCCTGCAGCTTCAGCTCCCCCCGCAGACGGAACAACCGGGGAGGTTTCGATAGTGGGAGCAGCAGGAAAGCGCGCAAGGGAGGAAGGAGAAACCGCCCCCGATGACTCATTGGCAAAACGTCTCAAACCGGCGGAAGGAAGCAGTAAACCGGTGACATTGCGACGAGATCGTGTTCCTCCGCCTCCATGACCGCTTGTACTGCTACTTACACTTATTTCGTACAGCATCTGTATCATACATTGCATTGCGCTAACTTATTCACTCGTGTGGTTATTACCTGGGTCGCAGACCCTCCAAGAATCATGATTTCATCAGAGCCTGGATTACATGAGCGTGAACACAGCGTGAAGCAATAAGCACTGAATAGACACATGCACGGAGTCGTTAAGGAGCCTTCGTGAGTCGTGAAAGAGCTAATATGGACTAGATACCAGGATACGAAAGCGATGAGATAGCAGTTACGACGGTGTAAATGAAGCAATTGGCCGGATGATAAATGGGTCCGAGGAAATAGATGAGAGAAGTTGTTCAAAGTATGCAAAGTCAAGCAGAGAATGGAGGATGGTAGTCATACGACTTTGGTCCTAGTGGACACAGATTTGCCAGTCACAATAGCCTTAAAGGCCTTGCGGACAATTGCAACGGTGTTTTTCCCCGAATCTGCAGGTGACGAACCCCCATCGCGCGCCGAGGGAACGACTACCCCAAACTCATCGACTGATGAAGCTCTACGGAGATCCTCACTGGATACTGGTGGCAGCATGGGGCGTCGCGTCGAATGAAAAAGTCCGTGGCCCCGTTTTGAACCAGATGCCTGCACGGGGATATTTGAGATTGGACGTAGGTAATCGGACTGGTAACCCCGTCCAACACGCTTTACACCGGCGGTCGACATGAGGAACCTATAGCAGTATAGAAATTAGACTGGATCCCACCATCATCGCGTAGCGACTGACCGATCGTATATTTCCTCAACATGCTTCCTTGTAGGAGTATCGAGGGTATCGGCAGCATTCGATGCTGGTATCCTCTGTGGGTAAGGATCGACATGGAGGGGAGAGGATGTTAAATCGTCCTCGATACATTCGTGTACAACGTCTGACTCGCGTAGTCGTGGCATGGGTGAAGGAGCAATGAAGATGCTCCGGTCAACGACTGCAGAGAGTCGTTGAGGACGCGGAGGTAGTGCCACTGTTATGCATTGTAAACAATCAGCTGTCAAGGCAATGATCTCCGGAAGAAAGGCGATTAAAGGCCTACGTTTCTCCAGCTCAAACTCCAACTTCGCGACCGGTGTGATCGGACGTAGGAGATCATATTGCGACCTGGACTTCTCCCTTCGCTTCGACGGCGACTCGACGACACAGTCGCTGCTCTTCTTGCGAGCCGGTTCTGGTGAGCGCGTCACTACAGTTGCGCGACGTCGACGGGAGGGTGTCTCAGGTACCGGTAGCGGCATAGATCCCGACGCAAAACTAGGTTGCTCCGAAGGAATTGTCGGTAGTGTCTGGTCCACATTCCCGGTGGTCTCTGCCTTCGTGTCTTCCACAGTGGACTGATCGAACGACGTTGGGATTCTGTCAAATATACCGGATTCGTACTCATCAACAAAGATCTTGTTTGCGGGCAAGATCTTGCGTGGGACACGCGAGGATCGATTACTACGGTCGTGGCTTGTCGAGGGCCGTCTGCTTACAGGCGCGAGAGGAAGGGGAGGGAGTAATCCTGTGGTGGGCGATGATGCCGCAAAATTTTGACGGGCATCCTCAACAACCTCTGTACGTCAAACATTAGGTCAGACGTACGACTGAGATGTAAACATGACACGTACGTTCAACATTGCGGATCCAAATTGTCATGCGATCGAGTTGATTGGCTGTCGCCATGCCTTCATTCCGCACGGCCTGCCGAACGCCTGGCAGCGACGAGTTAGCTAAACAGAACAACATTAGAGAGGCTCAGTTATATAGCCTAGCAGATTCTCCCTAACCTTTACGAATAAGTGAGTCGTCCTCCCAAGATGCCCGATCACTCATGCTGATTCTCGACACATCATCCTCGTCAAGATCATGAGATAACTCCAATCCGGGAGTAGATCGCCCTAGAGCCAGAGCCGATGACTTGTAGAGCCTCATGGCCCCGCCTGCAAATAGTCCATCACCATCAGCCATGCATTGCTGTAATAAGGGATGACCTACCAAGCGACACCTTCAAGCTCTGCTTCAGGATGCTAATGCCTGATTCGTTGCCCGAACGGAAGTGCTCATCGTTCAAGATGTCTGACTCTAATGGCTCTGATTCGCGCGTAGGCTGAGTACGCTGGTAAATCCTGATACGAATCATGTACGCACCTTCATGCAACGGACCGAGTGGCGTAATTGGGACGCTCCCGGGAGGTGTCACGGACGATGCGCCCCCCGTTATAATCCTCGACAGGGCGGGGCGGGGCTCCGCCTCTCTCGCCTTCAGTCGCACACGCTCAAGCTCCAAGGTGCGCTGGCGCTCCAGTTCTAGCTCTCGCTGCTGCCTCATCTCGAGCTCCAACACCCGCTCCTGCTCTCGCGCCTCTTCCATCTCCTTCTCGTATCTCCGCCTCTCTTTCTCTCGCTCCTCTTCCGCTTCTCGCATACGCTCCTCAAGCTGTTCCATCTCCCGCAGCCGCTCCCGTTCTCGCTCCCACTCCCGCATCCTGTTGCGCACTGAGCTCGAAAGTACCTCCTTCGGCTTCTCCACTCGCTTCGGAATCGCTGACGCGGTATCCGCGTTCTGATTCGCGGAGGTGACATCCTTGAAGACCCTGCTGCGTCGCCCTTGCTTCTCCTTTGCCATCGCATGAGGCGGCGCATTCTCTTTCGATGCCAAAGGCTGGTTATGCCTCTGCACAGGAGAGCTGGGGGGCGTTGGCCCCCGAGGCCCGAGAGGCCTACGCGTAGTTCTCGCCGCCTTCGCGCCCATTGCGGGCGCCGCATTCTCCTTACCAGCAGCAGACGAAACAGCCACCGTCGATGTGGTAGGCGGTGAATGCTTGACAGGTGAAAGTGTTGCGAGGAGGGAAGGCATCAACGCATTCCTCTTCGTCCGTGTAACACCACGCCCTGAAGGTGGTATGAGTAATCCGATGTGTGTTGCTAGTCAATCACGTACCTTCCGGAGTCTGCAGCTTCGGTTGTGACTGCGACCTAGCATGACGATTCTGCGCGATGAGGCTCGAGCGCCGGTTAGGCTTCTCCCGCACCTCTGAAGGGGAATTGGCCCGATCAGCCTCCTTGTCAATACTGTCTCTCCTGGCGTGCTCCTTCGTGGGCTTCTCAGATACATCCTCTTGCGGAGACCATGGAGGCACAACGTCGGAGAACATCGCTACATCCTTCTCCAATCGTAGGGAGAGCGTAGGCGCATGTGAGATGCTGCTAGATTTACCTACACACAAACGTGTTACGTGGGTACATTATAAAAAGAAACATTACTCACGATGAGATTTCAATGCCGCATCCTGCGACCAATACGCATCCAGCATGGCTTCCGAAGCCGTGCATCTCAGGTCAGCATTAGGTAACACCATTCGGCGAAGCAGCTTCTCCAAACCCTTTGACATCTTCCACGTGCCCACCCATTTGCCGCGAAGCTGGTGGATTCGTTTAAAACATAAAAACACGTGCATACGGAGGTAATTTGACGCTTACTGTTCGATTCCAGTATTTCTCTAGATCCTCTTTGGTGGTGAACTGCTCGCCTTCAGAGTGCTCGAAGGGTGTACGACCGATCAGGATCTCAAAAAGCGTTACACCAAGGGACCAGACGTCTGATTTACGAGTATCATGGGGTAAACCCCTTGCACGTTCAGGGGAGAGATACTATAAACGAATAGACTAAGCCAACAATGACGAGCATACCGAGTCAGGTGCATACCTCTGGAGTTCCATATGAAAGATTGCTATGAAAAGCTGTACTTGAATTGACATCGTACCGCTCTGCAAAGCCAAAGTCCACAAGCACTGGTATGTTCTCTTGCGACAGTAAGATGTTTGCAGGCCTGGGTATACCCCAGTGAGCAACGCGGACAGAGACATTGAATGGAGAACGTACTTGATGTCGTTATGGACTACACCACGTTTGTGAAGGAATTCGACCCCAGAAAGCAGGGAATGAAACCAAAGTCGGGAAGTACTCTCTGGGACCTCAACGGGAACTAGACGAGGATGGTATGCCATTGTAATTAAAGCATACGAGGGGGTAATGATAAACGAATAGAATGGGATGATGGACGGATGTGGCTCGTGCTTGAATGATCTGACAACTTTCATTTCGTTCCATCTGCTCCGACGTCAGTACACGAAAGCGGCGCTGACGGGAGACCTACAGTGAGCGAACTCGCGCCGCCGTAGTAGAGGTCTTAGAACGGTGGACAAGTTTGACAGCGATCTTGGTGTCGTTGAGTGCATGCGGACTGTCGGTGGATGGGGAGGACGAATCAGGCTTTGGGCGACACAACCACACACTGCCCCAGTTCCCGAAGCCAATCTGCGCGTCGAGAGTAGAGTTAGTATCCGTTGCATACCTGTCATGCGTGGCGAGGATACTACCTCTTCGATGAACTGAAGCCTGTCGGCCAAAACTTGGTCGGAAATGGAGAAGATGTCGGTAGCCTCCTGTGGAGGATCGGGAGGTGGAATCATTGCGAGAAACGACAGCTAAAAGTACAGGTCACAGCGTGAGCAAAGCAAGAGAAGAGACAGGAGAACGAGACGCAAGAAAGGGCGATAGGCAGGGGACGAGCACAAGCCCCATCAACTTCAACTTCGCTTGTGCCAATTCAACACGCGCCAAGCGCCCACGCCACAGACGTGTTCAGTCGCGTGTGTCACGCGTTTAGTGTCACGCTCAGACGCGTCCCGGGCCGTGCCAACTCCACGGTCAACTACGACGCAACTTGTTGACATCTGCAAACTTGTCTCTCATCATGTTACCTTGTCTAAAATCACCCGCACTAAACGCATACGTCTGGGTTATAATTTGATGCCAATCTCGGAGTGAGAAATGTCTTTGGAGACGTCTATTTCAGACTTACTACTTGAATTGTTGATTTTAAGGTACCTGAGTCGAATCCCAACGTAGTTCTTCGCACCTGGCTATGTATATACATGCCACTTAATGCCCTGCATAGCCAATCAATTTAAATAGCTGCTTCAAAGCTCATCCAAAGCTAGCGCGTCTCAGGCGCATACAATGATTACCAGTACATACGCTACAAATACCACTACTGCTTACATTCCACTAAGCTACGATTAGTCCGAAGAATTACCATATAGGCGCTAGCAAGTCGCCTCTCTGGCCTAGAGAATACTGATACATCTTGCCGCCCGAAGCAGCCCACAAGCACATCCCCCTCTCGCTCTCCGTCACCTGCATCGCGCAGACAGGCGCGCTGCGCCCGTGGGACGGTAAGGAGACGTCTCCCACGCCGGAGCGGGGGTCAGGCGCGTCCTCTTGTGCTGCCGTCAGCTGGCGGCCACTGCGCAACGACCACACGCGGATACGACTGTCCTGTCCTGCGGCGAACAAGAAATCTTCAGAGGGGTCCACCGCGATGCCCTGACAACAGCCCAGACGTCAGCTAGCCCACAACGCAGCACGAGCGCGCAGAACTATACCAATTTGGTCAAGCCGGCGTTTACATGCCCAGAGAACTCCATGAGAGGCGCCTTCCGCAGGAAGCGGAGGTCATGCATCTCCAGCTGCGCGGCAGAGGCGTAATCAGAGAGATGACACGAGGACTCCAGGGCCGACTCACATCTCCGCGTATCGTGCTCAGCAGGAGCTCGCGTTCGCGCACGATGCTGAGGTGCGTGATAGCGCTCGTGGTGCGTTGGAAGCGGTCTTCTAACAGGCCCTGCCGGTTGGATGTGTGCAGGCGTGTGTCGAACCGGTCCACCCTGCCGTTCCGAGCGCCCGTATAGACAAGATGCTGGGGGTTAGAGTTAGTCGCTGTCAATGAGGCCTTCTGTGGAGATGACAGCTGAGCGGGGGACCCACGTTCTTGAGGTGCACTGCCAAGACATCACTGCCAGTCTCCAGGACTTGGAATCCTCGCCCGGTGTCGATGTCTGGCAGGAAAACACCACACTTTGCGGCACCTTTGACGATGTAAGCGACATATCCCCTAGAGGCTAGCTGCGAAACAGGATTTACCCAGTGCAAGGCTATGATCGTAAAGATCAGCCGTCCAGACATCATGACATACCCTGTCCAGATTGAGAATTGTCCATGATCTGGGGCCCAGGTAAGTGGGACGCCATAATGAGAGAGGGAGCTTGCAACGCACTCTGTGGGCTCAGTATTGCGAACGACAATTTTGCATGGCGATTCAAGCGAGGTGGCTCTGAAGGGAGCATTAGCGATCCTCAGTATTTCAACTGGTAGGTTACCCACACATGCCAAGAGCGCCATGAACAGATAGAAGATATCTGCTTTGAAGTTGAGGGTCATCTTAACGGCAACACATGAATCACATACCGAAGATGCGATGTTCAGCTCTCGTGCATGTATTAGATTCTCTCCTGTGCCACTCAGTGAATGTAGCCACCCAGATGTATCACCAATTAGGAAGGAATATGGCTCGTCGTAGGCATGAGAAGTGGGCTTTCGGCGCATAGAGCACACAGTGAGTGAAAGTACACGAATAATACAGTGAAATCTTACGCCGGTGTGAAAAGCGGTTAACACTGCATTCGTGATAGAATGACAATGCTGTCGGGAGGTCAAGGCAATAGTTGAAGCAACGATGTCACTAAAAGCAATTAGCTGCTCCCGGTCAGACTAGAACCCAACGTACGGCGTACTGGATGCATCTCCTCCTGCGGGTGCTCGTATACGACAAGCGCGAGCTCTCTCTCGCGCGCCATATGCCTTCCGGGAGAGTCATTTCTATGCGTCTTCGTTTGTGGGGAGAACCCTCAGAGACGCCCGTATTATAGGCTGTCCGACCAGGGCGCTCTCCACGGACGTCGGACTGTATGGACGAGCGTCCGGCCGGCCCAGCCTTCGAGAGAGGAAAGTAACGATTCTTCCCTTCGTCCCAGTAATAGCCAGGTAGCTGGAGTGGCATGCCCGTGCGGGTAAGAAGTAGAGACAGGATAGATACGGCACGGAATGCGTTGGCGCTGGACGGCGACGGCAAAGACGACAGAATCGAGACGCGTGCGAGAACGCGTCTGCATCACATGACGAGAGTCCGACTGAAGCGTTTGAGGTTGCCGGCTCTCACCGGGACGCCTTCACGCAATACCCTCAATCTTGAAATCTCTAGGAACAAGACCCTGTCTTTGTGCTCTCATGCGTACCGGCGCACGCTGACTCCTGATGCCTAAACTTGGACTGAGACATTCCGGATCCCTGGGTAGTGCGCGGACGATCCTTTCGAAACCTTTCTCGCTCGCCCTTCCTGAGGGCGAATTAGTCGAGTCAGCGGATGCAGTAGCGACGGAATACAGGACAAGGTTTCTCGGAAACACGAGAAGCGAGCGGAGGCTGACGGAGTGCCATACAAGGAGGCCAGTCATCCGTCGCAACTGCGCCCGTGCAGCCCGGGCTCGACCCCTTGCTTGTGCGCCTCGTCCGTCTAGTAAGCTTCGCTGTTCATTGGTAAAGCTTCTCATGGGAGTGGGAAGCGTTCGGGTGCGCAAGCACGTTACTTCTACCTGCGAGTGTCTCGCTGCTCTCTGGCCGTATAAACCTTGCACGCAAAAGACGGAATCTTTGCGAGCATCCTTGGTTTTCCGGGCGGTTCGTTCAGTCATCAGCCTTCTCATCCCTTAGCGTGGTCGACCGGCGGCAATTTTCGGGGATCAGTGCGCCTGTTCTATTGATTCTGAATAACCTTTCCATCGAACAGAACCGACTCAATTGGGTAGCCAAGCCACTTCGCACTCAATGCAGTCGGATTCCACTCTATTAACCTGTAGTTTTCTTTCCTCGATTTCTGATTTTTTTCCAGGACTTCGCGGCTCGGACAGGATGTGGAATTGCCGCCTCGCAATAGGTGTGCATGCGTCGTAATGCCGTTATGGAGTAAGTTTGTCGTAAATCCCAGCACGTCCTCGCGCGCTTGTCCTGTCCACAAGACCAATTCTTTGTCGACGAGGCTCGCGGTAAGGAATTGCTCCGTACGCGCTTCACAACAATCATATTATCTCAATACATCTTTCCACGCCGTCAGGTGTGTCGCCGCCCATCTCAATTAACGACAAATTCATGAGGTTGCCAGCGTCATGCTGGTGAGCGTTCTTTATGTAAACGGCTGTTGATGTGTCTGCATCAGCTAGGGCGGCAGCGAGTATCTTTCCGTCCCGCTCTCGTTCATCAGACGGACAGACAGTACGACAACTACGTTGGACCCGGGTGTTTTCCTTATCCCCCGGCGTTGACCCGGTGCCATTTGTGAGAGTTGACATGAGAAGACTTGCATTCCACCGCTCCCTGTTGGCGCAATGTCCGGACATGCGCGAAGGTCGGGCCCGTTTCGTCGTCCCGGGGGGATGTTTCACACTGAGCTCGGTCGCATGCTGTGTTTGTAACATAAGGAATAATTTATCTGTTGTTGCTTGTGATTGGGCCATTGCATGAATACAACCGCCCGGCCTGGACCCTGTCCCAGGAGGAGAAATTTAGGGTGATGACTTTACGGATGACGCCCCACCATCGATTAGGCGCGGGGTTAGCTCGAGGCTATGTAGGGATGTCTCAGGGTCTCAAATGGGCCTGAAATCCGAGCAAGTGAGGACGTGCAGACTGGCTTGAGACGACGGTCGGCGCAGACAGCGAGGAACATCCAGAGTGATGATGGTCGTCACTGTTGCCGATGGCGAGCAAAGTCGGAACAAATATTATGGAGGGTATATAACGGGGCGCGGGCGCCTGCATGCTCTGAGTCCGACTGTCGACTGGGCTGCTGCTGCTCGTGCTCATTTGAAAAATTGCGTATCTGAGCCCTGATTTTCTCCCAGATCACATTTGCGCGCACTCCTTATGTCCTCTGTCGCTCTCTCCATCCTCCCTTCATCTGGTCGCCTCTCGCCCCCACAGACCAACTTTCACAGTGCGGACTACCAGCGCGTCTGGGTCGAACGTGCCTGTGCGCTCATCCTCGAGTCAGCTGTCGCTCAGGGGCCCGTCATCGTCCAGGAAATCGTTAGCCACTACCTGGGGATCAACCTTGAGGGAGAAGGAGCAGGCGCCACGCCGGATGGCCCTGCAAAGTCCGCATCAGTAAGCCTTCCGTCCTTACGTACCCTCGCAGCCCAATGCGTCCGTGATCTCGGCGAGGCCCACGTATTTATGAGCCCTTGCTCGCAACGTGCTCGTCGCGTTTCTGCACGCTGCACGCAATGCAGGACACACGCCGGCGCTAGCCTCGTGCACTCACCCGCTCTGCCAGCAATGTCTCGCTACCCAATCTCACAAGTCTATCATTTCTAGGTACTCCACCCCGCTCTCTTGCCACCCGACGTCCTTGGAAACATATCCTCCGGTGCGACACCCTTTCTCCACTCGTCTGGCTGCGCACCCCCCGCACACATCCCAACTACCATGACCAAGAAACGCCGTTCTCTGCACTCGCTCTTCTCCCCCACCTTCCTCCAGCTGACCCTCCCGCCTGCCGACTCGCCCAGCCGCCGCTCCCGCTCGCAGTCTGTGGCGACGGCGAGCACGGGCACTCTGTCACCGTCCTCACCATCCTCGCCGACCTCGTCCTCTTTCGACCACGGGTCGATCTCTTCGCTTCCCGACCTCCCGCTCCTCGATCTCCCGGTAACGCCACCGCGCAACTCGCCGCCGCCGGACCTGCTCGATGAGGATCCCTTTGCGAACCTTTCTCCCGCGCCCTCGGTGAGGCGTCTGCGTCTGCGCCCACCGTCCCTCGTGCTAAGCGACTGCGAGACCCTCCCTGTCGAAGAGGTGGGTTTACGCCCGCCCCGCTCGCCACTGTCCATGAGCGCGTCGCCGTCGTCGTCTTTCGTGTCCCTGCATGACCCGTCGACGCCCCCTTCGACCCCCGTTCCACAGAGGACGCGTCCGCGTCTTGTGCGACCCAAATCATCTGGGTCGACGCAGGTACACCCCGCCTACACTCGGCCCGCGTTCATGCCCAGGCCTTCGCTTCCTTCCTTGAATACCCTTACACAGTCACATGTCGTAGTTCCCAAGGTATGTCTTCGTGCAGATCGTTTTCACATGCGAGCTCACTGTGCCTCGCTATTTGTGTCCCCCCTTACAGGTTCGCAAGGGCACGGTTGGCGCGCAACTCCCTGCGGAGCCCTGGAACTCAGATGAGTCGTGTTCGTCTCGAAGTGCATCGCGTTCGCCGGAAACACGCAGGAGGAGGCATCTCCGCAGGCCGACAGAACTGAGCACAATCCGCGATTCGCGCATCCTGCTGGACGAGCAGTCGTTCTTCCTCGGAGACGGTTCTCCGCTCGACCGCAAGGCCAGGTTGCCGGCGGACGCAAATAATGGCGAGTTCGAAAGGATACCGGACGGAGTTCTACCGGACCATGCGTTCTCCCACCTCCTCCGCGCCTACTCGGACCCGTTCCCCCATCGATCTGAGTATTCGCCCATCGCGACGCCATCTCTCTGCCCGTCATCACCTACTTCCTCCGAATTTACAGATTCCCTGGTCTCGGTTGATACCACTTACCCAGACGTAACTTATCCCTCTTCCTCTCACTCTCCTCTCAATCCTTCCTTCCAGCGACATACCAGGTATTTTGATAATGAACTAGTCTCGTCGCTCGACTACAACTATGCCGATGCTGTGTCGAAGCTGACCGGACCGCCTTCGCCCAATGCCGCGCTTGTCATCGACGCTGCAACATACTTCAGGTCGCCCAGTGACTCCACCGACTCCGTGACTACCGAGTCCGACGAGCTCGAACCTGGTACGTCCGCAGATACAGTGCGCGTACTTGCCTGCCAAATTTCAGACGAGAACGAGCTCCCGCGCTCGCCGGACTCTGGGACGTCCGAGTTCTCCATTACTAGCAGTGCCGGACACTCGCGCTCGAGTTCTGCCACATCGATTGATTACAGTGACTTGTACAATGAGCACACCAGTATCTTTTCTGGCTCCTACGTGGAGGACGTCGACGCCGACGAGGATGATGAGGATGACGACGAGGAAGCATCCTCTCCTAGGTTCGGCATCCCGTGGCCAACCTATGGCTCTGGGCGTACCGCGTCGGCTTTCGGTCCTGGGCGTACTCCCCCACTTTCATGCTACGGTAGCCCTGTCTATTCCCCTGTTGCGCTAGCCGACGACATCGCAGAACGATTCTCGCAGGAGAGCAGCCGCTCGTCCCATCACGCTGAGTCGGATGAGCCTATAGATGGCGAAGACGGCGTCCGCCGTGTACCTACTAACGGCCGGTCTGCCGGGTATACCTCTTCCGCAAACCACGGCTCGCGCTCGTATGGCAGTGCCAATGGCAACAGCTCAGCCGGCGGGCACAGCGGCGGCCACGGTGGTTCAGGCGGCGATCGGCGAGGAAATGGCAATGGCGATGACCGGCGGCCGGCTGGCCGGCCGACTGTGCCAGCCG